CATCAGAAAATCCCTGCTAGATCGATGGATGGCGCGTAGAAAACCAGAAGTTCACAGGTAATTCAACCTACTTAAAAATTTAAGTTGTTAGCTATAATACATAAGGACCTAAAAAAGACCGCTAGAGACAACCTCACTCAATTTTGGTATGGATTCACAACGGGGCCGCCTAACGCTAATAAGAATTGCTATAATAGTTATCTTGGTCTATAGACTTCATCTGCTACAGCTTTCTTAGTCTTTTTGTCCTATCCATAACCTTTCAACCTACTTTTTAGTGCAGTAAAAGAATTACGAGCGGGTTTAATTTATTTCCTCTCATCAAAAAATACCTAAGACGCTTTGGATGGGAGGTTTTTGTCACTGGGTGGTCCTACGACGAATCCATACCCAAGCTGTATTTAATAGTTTTAATTTGACGTTGAATCTGAGCATATAGTTTTGCCCAAATAAAGCAGCTACTGATCAAGCCGAACGGGTCCCAATGGCCTGAAAGCACACGTAGGCGAAGCACATATATTCATCACAGTGTCACATATCTACCTAAATCGCATAAGTAGCCAAGTTTGTAGTAATAAGTATTGGTTGCACACAGTAGGTCCGTATCCAAATAAGCCAGACTTGGTCTTGTCTTTGATATTTTTCGCTGTTTTGTGGTCGTCTGTACGTTCTATCTGAGATTTCACTTCACCACTTAGATTCAAATTTCTAGCGATAGTGGGGCACAGTGTTTGACTGCCGCAGGTGGTTTGCCTGCTAGCGTTCGAACGCTTGACCTTTCACATGAATATCCTAGCATCAAGTTATTCACAAGTCCTCATTACGGACTAATTCATACAGAAGTCAACCAGGGCAGTGACGATTGCCATCATGTTGGGCTGAAAAATACGGTATGAACACCTTCGATAATACAAGGTCGTCTATATTTCAGAAATCAGGTGAACTAACGCATAGACCTTTTACATTTATTAAGTTAGTCAGGAATCCAATATGTTCAAATTAACCTTTTCGGGGGACATGAAATGTCGCCTCATATGAACAAGCTCGTGCAATCCAAGCAACGCTGTCACAGTGAGAAATGACAACAATTTCTTCTAAAGCGTTTATTGCAATTTTCAGAGGATTATGGAAGATTGACAGGCCATACTATCTGTTTTTTTTAATTTACCAAATTTGACTATATTGACCAATTTTAGGAAAATTATCTCGAAATCCCATAATTTAAATCGATTGCCATCATATTCTTCTCGGAAGCTGTTCTCCAGCGACCTTAGGGTTCATTTTGACTTTCTGAATCACATTTTTCATCCCCAGATTTCCTACTGGATCCAAAATCATCAATAGCTTTCACTGCATAGTTGACCTGTTCCTCCAGATGTTCAACGCGCTGTTGAAGCAATTTAGTTCGATGCTTGTATTCTCTGGCCTCGAGTTCCGCAGCATTCAGCCTTGAAAAATACACAGTTTAAACATTAGAACTTTGACGTAGCGCAAAGTTTTCAACAGGCTTCTGAGAACGAAACCACAATCTGCACCCTTACGACAGGCTCCTTAGTTAAATAAAAGTGAAGTATGATGAAGCATCGTTAGCTTTGTCTGTATTTTCTATCTAACTGTCCTGGCCGTGAAATTTATAGTTCGCCCTAAAGTCAATAGAACTTTGATGTCTAATGAGTTTTAACGCTATTTAAGGTGAAGGAGCATGGCTATGATTAGTCTTACTGGAGGGCACCAACCATGATGTTGCTCAGTTGCCTTAGGAAAGTATCGAAAAGCCTTGAAATGAAGGTGAACAATAGGTCCATTTTACCTACCTTTTCATGAGCGATCTCCTCTGTTGCTGCAGCTCCTGCAACCTTTTATTGGACTCAGCCTCGAAGGCCGCCTGCCTTCTGATGGCCTTTTTGGAAGTTTGTTTCATTTTCTCCTTCGACTCCCTTAACATTTGGATGTACTTCTTTTCCATGCTGCTCCTTTCTTCAAGCAGTTGTCGATCTCGATTCTGCTGCCTCTCAAGTTGATCATTCAACTGGAAAATCAGATTAATTAGTTCGTAGGTGAGTTTCCGTTGGTTGTTTGACGCAATACATTCCTTTGTCGTAACCAGGGCTACTGTTTGCACCGCATTGACATCAGCGTATGCCTTGACGGTTGGAAAAATAAAATGAATTGATTTAAAGAATGAGCACGTAGTTCGTACAGCAGCTACACAGAACCAATTTGAAACTGCCAAGTTGAAAAAATACTCTAACTTTCCAAAAACGTTTGGACAAGCAAATTAAAAGTGAATTACAGCGAAGCCAGCCACTAAGTAATATTACTGCAAGTACTGAAGTTTTGAGAAATCAAGTTGGCAAACATATGTTTTCAGCAAACCATCGTCAGGCCTAAACATTTGCAGGGTAATGAGAACTGTACAGTTGGACAGGGTTAAATAGTGTAGTCTAATTAGAATTCATCGTTTACGCGTCGCCCGCATGAATGAACTGTAATTAGACTACACTATTTAACCCTGTCCAACTGTGCAGTTTTCATTACGCTGCAAATGTTTTGGCTTGATGATGATTTGCTGAAAACATATGTATGCCAATTTGACTTCTTAAATTAAGTATGGGAATATTTGCAAAAATTAGACATACTGAAGTTTTATTTGGTTTCCGGATGGCTAACAGTAAAAAATATTTAACGGCTCATAAATGACTTCCGTTTACTAGCGGGAAATTGTGGCATTGATGTGGAGTGTATAATTTCATCATCACAGGAAGTCGAGGAGACCTTTTGTCCCTGTGAGATAATATCAATGACGATAGTTGGTAATATGAGGTAAGTCAGCACATAAAAGCTCGCTTGGTAGTTTGTACAGGAAGGCAGGGGTGAAGGAGGTAAAACTGCATATGACATGACGCCTTTCGAAATGCTTAATATTCCCGGCGGCTTACAAATACATATGTCGTTATTCACTCAGAGACCAAGGCGGTGAAGTTAGGAAACCGATCAATGCTGGTCTAAATCTGAGCTCAACCGGGGAGCTGTCAAAGAAATAATTAGACGAAAAAAATATTTCGGAAATCCAACTATCTCCTGTCGAGCTGAAGGCTGACAAATACATGAAAGATATGTCAGTGGCTACCCAAACAAAGTGTCCGAAACGTCGATGACACAGCAAGGTTATTACATCGTACTAATTCTCGCTCCCAATCTCCGGTTATTTTTATGGTTTGGCTTACCTTTAAACCAAAGAGTTGAGATTTGCAACAGATAGGAAATAAAATGTTTCAAGCAAATGCACGGCAAGGAATATCAGCAACATCAACAAAAACTTTAAAAGTATTTTTGTGGTTATTAGTTTAATGAGACTTACGGAAGCGTCACATTTGCTTTTCTCTTAAAATGAAAATTTACAGATTAACTTTCAAAGGATTTGGTGAATTTTATGCATTTAAGCATGGATATGACATAGAGTGCAGTGGTCTCGTATTAAGTGAAGAAAACTTATGATAAAGCAAATATTGGATTGGTATCGTAGAAAATTTTGCACCTGATGGCTTTGCAGCAATACATAGACTTCTTGAAGTAAAGGACCACATGCTTTCAAAATCCTTTGCCGCCAGTAAGATTTCGTTTTCAATGGCATCAGAGATAGCATCATACTTCGCTGCAGCTAGCTGAAATGGAAAAATATAATTGAATAATCTTCCGAATGCTCTTAGAAATTACACTTATTTTGAGCAAATACCGATTTTAAGAAACAGGATCGTTCACGCTGAACTTTTCAACAACAAACGGAGCGCCTCCTATAAATAAGAGCGAAGTTGAAAATACTACAGTGAAAAATAAGAGAACTTAAATATTTTTTTAGATTAATCAATAAGACCTTCACTTCGGGACAGACAGGCCAACTTGAGGTTTTAGTCCGGATTAGTTGGCAGTCGATTATTTACTCAGGCACTACTCAAGAAGCCGTGTTTCCACACCCACGAAGACTAGTCCTACGAAAATAGCACTGATATTTACTATTCCGTTCGATAAAGCGCCACCATAATCATTGTGTAGAAAGGCCCAGTAATAAAGCAGCAAATTAAATCAATACAAATTTTTGACCTATCAAGTTTTGTGAGGGTAAAATTCAAAAAAAACATGCAAAATTATCATTTGAAAAGTTTTACACATACATGTTTAAAATAATGAAAACGATAATTTGTAAAATGAAATTTTCGAAAAATATTTTACGCCTTGGAATTTACGAGACCTTGTGTGAAAAATTGACATTTATAAGATAATGCCTGTAAAAGCTAACACTCGGTTCATGTGAATCACTATCTGACTATCTTTTCCGAAGGACATTAAAATTATTTCTATGCAATGCTGAAGGTTAACGACTACTTCCTTAGCCAAGGGACAAAGGAAAAGTGGAGGCTTTAAGTATAAAATTGGGAGCGAACTTTGAGTGCTTGAGCATTGGTTTGGCGAGGGAAGTGACTTTCAAAAGAGGCTTTGAAAAGTCACCTAGGACCCAAAAGCCTTAATCTCGGGAAAAGATAATAATGTGGACTGGAGGTACAGCTAGTTGATTCCTACGGTTTACCCGGAGCATGCCATTTCATAAAACATAGCTATAACTTTAAATATCACAGCCAGAATAGCGAAGGTCAACGGGGCATAAGCATATTTTGGCGCAAAGGACTTGCCAAAATATATACAGACCAGTACAGATCAGTACAATTTTGAAGGCTCAAATACATGATGCCTTTGTAGTAGCATAAGAAGTGCCGGGACACTGTTCGTTGAAAAGTTCAATATTTTTATCCTGTAAATGGTAGTGTGATTTAAACTCTCGACGACTATTTGCAAACACCATTCATTAAGAAGTACTCCCTCAACTTAAAGTGCATCGCAGCCGACAATGTCATGCATTACTGATTAACTATGTCCAAAGAACATTTTTTAGCACATTTTGTTGTGACTCTATGAAAATGTTAATGAAGAAATCGGTGTGTGTAGACGCTTTCGAAAAATTGTCCTCAATAGAACAGCTGTTTTCTTAATAAAAATGCGTCCGTGCAAATGTTTATGAAGCTATCCTACTAAGTTAGATAAGCTTGTGTTTCATAGTTGACGGATAAAAAATCAGAAGTGGGATTGACGCGTGCAGTGTAATTATCACAACGTAGACTTAGACTTTTACAAAATAGAGCAAAACCAGAGATAGAATAGTGTTCTTGCATTTCTTCGGCAGGTTGTCAGCCGCTGAAGCACACCAGCTGCTAATATGCACGGACTGACACAACTTGTGCGCCTGTTCAGAGCCAATGAAGTCGATGTACGATAACATAGGGTCATTATGTAGACAACAAAACTATAAACTTCATACTGATTCATTCTCAAAATGCACATAAGGGACTGTTGTAACATTGCTGAGGTCATTTTTAGCTGGACTTATCTACAAGCCCGAGCCGGGGCCATCACGGTGTTTCCTGTCCAGGCATAGGCGAAAAACCCCACGGACTCACCCAATAGACAGACGTTAATTTCTGCAGGCGAACGCGAGCTCTTGCTCTTATGCAGTTGAGAGAAAAGCGAGTCCATCATTCAATGAAAATGGACGGCTAAATAATTTGTTCAAAAACTCACATTCAGGATAAAGCGTAACTAGTTAGAAGTCTTATGAAACAGAGGGCTTTGTTAATTGTGTATGCAAATTCGGCCTAAACAAATCACCTTTTAATTGTTTTTCTACTCCATGACCCTAAATAATACATCCTTTACAAAACCATCGGTTTATGAATACTCTGATGGGAAGTAAGGGTATCTATTACTGTACGATGGGGCTGCACGCGAGACAAATTTGTCTGGGAAAGGAAATTTCGTACTTTGTTAAAACATCATATGACGTTAAATCGAATTCCGACATTGATAAAACGCAGCTTACTTACTAGCAATAAAAATTTGAGTAAAAGTTCTCCTAGTGTGCTTAAAAGCACGTCAACTATTTATGGGC